GATTCCACTGGGATCCCTATGACCCCATATGATCCCTATAGGATCCTATGGCGCCCCCACAGAATACTACACGATCCCTCTAGGATCCTATGACACCCCTATAGGATCCCCCACGATACCTCGAGAGGGGTGTGGTGAAATGAACCGTGTAATGAACCTTCGGTGGAGCTCCCTGTGGAGCCAGGGCCGTGATACTCGAGGGGTGTGTGGAGCTCCCTGTCGGGCCACGTCCACGATCCTCGAGAGGGGTGTGCCGAAATGAAAATTCGGTGGAGGCCACGATCCTCGAGAGGGGTGTGCTGAAATGAACCTCCGGTGGAGCTCCCTATGAACCCACGGCCACGGTCGTCGAGAGGCGTGTTGAGCTCCCTGTGCGGCCAGGGCAACGGTTCTCGAGAGGGGTGCGCCGAAATGAAGCTTCGGTGGAGCTCCCTGTCGGGCCAAGGACACGTACCTCGAGAGGGGCGTGCCGAAATGAAGCTTCGGTGGAGCTCCCTATGGGGCCAGGGCCACGGTCCTTGAGAGGGGTGTGCCGAAATGAACCCTCGGTGGAGCTCCCTGTGAAGCCAAGGCCGCGATCCTCGAGGGGTGTGTGCTGAAATGAAGCTTTGGTGGAGCTCCCTGTGGGGCCAGGGCCAAGATCCTCGAGAGGGGTGTGGCGCTCCCTGTGCGGCCAAGGCCACGATCCTCAGGAGTGGTGTGCCGAAATGAACCTTTGATGGAGCTCTCTGTGCGGCCAGGACCTCGATCCTCGAGAGGGGTGTGCCCAAATGAACCTTCGGTGGAGCTCCCTGTAGGGCCAAGGCCACGATCTTTCGGAAGGGTGTGCCGAAATGACGATTCGGTGGAGCTCCCTGTGGGGCCAGGGCCACGATCCTGCTTGAGGGTTGTGCCGAAATGAAACTTCGGAGAAGCCCTCTGTGAGGCCAGGGCCACGATCCTCGAGAGGTGTGCGCTGAAATGAACCTTCGGTTGAGCTCCCTGTCGGGCCAAGGCCACGATCATCGAGAGGGGTGTGCTGAAATGAACCTTCGGTGGAGCTCCCTGTAGGGCCAGGGCCACGGTCCTCGAGAGAGGTGTGCCGAAATAACGATTCGGTGGAGCTCCCTGTCGGGCCAAGGACACGTTCCTCGAGAGGGGCGTGCCGAAATGAAGCTTCGGTGGAGCTCCCTATGGGACCAGGGCCACGATCCTCGAGAGGGGTGTGCCGAAATGAAGCTTCGGTGGAGCTCCCTGTAAGGCCAAGGCCACGCTCCTCGAGATGGGTGTGCTGAAATGAACCTTCGGTAGCTGGTTGCTGGATGCTGGGGGGGTCCCCGGGCAACAAGGTCACGTGTCAATCAACAACAACAACAGCAGCAACAGCAACAGCAACAGCAACAGCAACAGCAACAGCAACAGCAACAGCAACAACAACAACAACAACAACAACAACAACAACAACAACAGAAACAACAACAACGGCTCCCACCTGATACTTCCTCACAGTGTATTCCCGAATCGCGCTCTCGCGCGGGACGCCCTCACAATTTACAGAAGAATCGCGCTCTCGCGTGGGCCTTCCTCGCCATGGATTCAAACGTCGCGCCCTCGACACTCGGAAACAACGCTCTCGCTATGGATTTCCTCACGATTTATTTGGGAATCGCGCTATCGTTCGAGAAGTCCTCGCGATTCATGCAGTTTTCACGCTCAAACGCAACCTGCTCGACCTGGCCGCTTGGGCCCGCCTTCCCGACCCCCCCGTTAGGGTCTACCCGCCCGCTTGGTTCTGCCACGTGATTTCTGCTCCAGGCCCCCCTCCTGTTGATCCCGTGCTCGATCCTTCTCCCTCCCCCTTGTCCCTTCCATCCGTCCCCTGTTCTGGTGCCTTAGGGGCTGCAAAAAATGCACGTTGCAGGAAAGAAAAGTGTATACCCGCAAGGGGGTGCGATCGAAGACGGAGAGGGCGGACAAGGATTTCGGATATACGTGGTGAATGGCCCGCGAGCAGATAAGAGCGAACATACTCAAAACGATTGTTGTTTGCGTTGTAGTTGTTGTTGCTGTTGGTGATGGTGGTGGTGGTGCTGTTGTTGCGGTTACTGGTGTTGCTATTGGTGTATGTGTTGTTGTTGGTGGTGGTGGGTGGGGGGGTGTTGTTGCTGGTGTTGTTGGTGTTGGTGTTGGTGTTGTTGCTGCTGCTCAGGGCGCACCCCTCCCAAGGCATGCTCCTCCTCCTCCTCGTCCCCCTCCCATCCTCCTTCGCATCCTTCTCACACCTCACCGTTTTACTCCTCTTCCTCCTCCAAGGACCTCGGCGGCCCCTCGAGGTCCTGGGAAGTCCCCTGGAGCCCTCGGAAGGGATTGTGCCTGATTCCAGAGATGGCCCCGTGGCGACTGCAAAGGTCGACCCCTTCGAGATCGAGGCGCCCTGTTGTCTCATACGTCTCCCTTCCATGACCTCTGCGTGTCTTCCTGTCGTTTGCGCCATACCGCGCCTAGAGAAGAACGAGCCTCGCGCGCTCTAGGAGTGTCCTCTCGCACCCGCCCCGACTGCAGCATCAGGATCTGGGGGGCGCAGGGGTTCTGGGGGGACGGGGTCATTGGATTCTGGGGGTCCCCTGGGGGCTTCGGGAGAGTGCTCAGACGTTCTGGTGGGTGGTGGTCCCGAAGGCTCCGACATGAAGAGGATGGGGACGCGGGGAGAGACGAGGGCACGGCGGACGACAATGAAGTGGACAGGGACGGCGACGAACAAGAGGAGGGAGGGGGACGATGATGGGGCCGAGCAGGCGGAGGAGGGCGGTGGCCATGGCGTGTGTGAGACGCTTTTCCACTTTCGTCGTCGTCGCCTTGGGAGCATCCAGGGGCTCTGCGGGGCGCGTCGGGCCCCTCCCCGAGACCCCCCCCTCTCCTCCTCGGGACCCCTCCCCCCCTCGACCCCTCCTCGAGCCCCCCCCCCCTCGAGCCCTCCACCTCGAGACCCCGAGGCCTCGTCGACCCCTCTTCGAAACCTCCCCCCTCCTCGAACCCTCCCCTCGACCCCCTGCTCGACCCCTCCCCTCCCCTCGACCCCTCCCCTCCTCGAGCCCCTCCCTGGCCCCTCCTCGATCCCCCCCCTTGACGCTTTTCCGTTTGAGCCGACGTCCTTGTCGCCGCCGCTGCCGCCGCCGCAGCCGCTGCCGCCCCCCCCCCGTTCCCATGGGCTCTCCTTCTCCTCAAGCGTTCGGGCCAGAGAAGAAACCGAGCAACGTCGTGGCCGAGTCGAAGGGACGCCCCTTCAGAGGCCTCCTAGATGGGGTCGGAGTAGATGGGGTCGGAGGATCGCGCCGCATCGCCGATGCATCGGCGATGCATCGGGGATGCACCAGCCACGCGTCGTCGACGTCGCCGATGCATCGGCGACGTCGACGTGAAGCACATCGGGCCCCACATCGAGCCGCATCGGCACTGCATCAGCGATGCGGCGCGATCCTCAGACCCCATCTACCCCGTCCCCTTCTGAAAGGCCCAGAATGCTTTGTGTGCCTGGTGAACAGAAGCGGGAAAGGGAGGAGGAGGAGGAGGAGGAGGAGGAGGAGGAGGAGGAGGAGGAGGAGGACGAGGAGGAGGAGGAGGAGGAGGAGGAGGAGGAGGAGGAGGAGGAGGAGGGGGAGGGGGAGGGGAGGGAGGAGGAGGAGGAGGAGGAGGAGGAGGAGGAGGAGGAGGAGGAGGAGGGAGGAGGAGGAGGAGGAGGAGGGAGGAAGAGGGGGGAGGGAGGAGGAGGAGGAGAGGGGGGTGAGGGGGGGGGGACGCGGGGGGGGGGGGGCGGGGGAGGGGGATCCTGCGGGATGTGGCCCACCCCTGGGAGGGTGAGCTTCCCTCCCTTGGAGGAGCTTTTCCGTGCGATGTCCTTGCCTCCCAGACGCCTCGAGGTCTCTTGTGCCACGGCCAGCGCCTAGAGGCAATAGCCCTGGATCGCTCAAAGACGGCCCGAGACACCCTCAAGACGGCCTCAGAAGCCCCAAGACGCCCCAAGAGGGCTCCAAGAGGAGCACCAAGAGGGACCCGAGCGGTGAACACTGCAGACCATCATTCCGTTTGTATGTGTTTCTCGTGTCCTCGTATTTTCGGGTTCCCGACGCCTTCAATATCGCCCCAAACGGCCCAAGAGGCTGCCGAAAGCGCTCCAAAACGGCCCGAGACGGCCCCAAGACGGGGGCACCCAAGATTCTCCCGAGAAGGGAACACCAACAGACATTGCGGGCCTTCCGCCTTCCGCCTCAAGAGGTCCCAAGAGGCGCCCAAGAAGCTCCTAAGAGGCCTCCAAGAAGCTCAAACAAGCCCCGAGAGCACTCACAAGAGAACCCAAACAAGGTAAATTCAATTACTTGCATGAAGGTTTGAATGATGTCGTTGTCGCCCTCGCCGTCGCCGCTGCCGTCGCCGCCGCCGCCGCCGCCGCCGTCGTCGTCGTCGTCGTCGTCGTCGCAGTCGCCGTCGCCGTCGCCGTCGCCGTCGTCGTCGCCGTCGTCGTCGTGGTCCTCGTCGTGGTCGTCGTCCTTCAGGGTCGGCGGCACTGGCCGTAAGGCCTTGGCATTATCAGGGGGTGTAGAGAGAATGCTTGAGGACGAGTAGGGGGGGGGAAGAGGGAGGAGGGGAGAGTGCTGACGGGTTCGGAAGGGGACGGGAAGGATGCAGGAGGGACTGTGAGAGGAGGATGTATGAGGAACGAGGGGGCAGGAGGGAGGCGAGAGAACTTTAGGAGGCAACTACTGGGAGGTCTTCGTCGGAAGGATTAAGGAAGATGGAAACCCATTGGGGGGCTGTTACGCTGGGGTGGGCCTCGGATTGAACGGGATTCAGCCAGATTGAGCGGGCTCAAGCGGGATTAAGCCGGATTAAGCGGGATTAAACCGGATTTCGGATCAGGGCAAAATCAGAATTTGACCTCCCAGGAGTTGCGTCCGAAAGAATTCAGGAATAATGCTGAACATGGTAAACATAATAAAGCTGACGACGCCCAATGTGAGGACACATTTTCTCGCGACCAGCAACAAGTTGGATGCCAACTGTCTTGGTCCAACTCACATAGGGGCATCTCGTGATCTGCCCCCCGAATTCTGAGGTCCGGTGAGGACAAGGGTACAGGGCAGACCAAGCTGCGCACAAAGCGAGAGTGGACGTGTGCCAACTTACGCAGGGAAGCCGCCACCAGTGCTAAGCTGCTGCTCCCTCCCTTCCCACACGGGGCAACTACCACCTCCCCCGGCCTGTGAACCCTGCACGGGTCCAGTCGGGGCGATTGTTGCTGAAGGCAGCGGTATACCCTGTGAAATGCTTAAGAAATCATGGGTTAAGAAATTCATAGTCTGAGAATTTGAATAAAAACCCAGAATGTCTATTCAAATCTTAGGGTTCACATTGAAACATTAAGAATAATCGAGACTCTGGCCGAAAACTTGAGTGTTCTTAAGCATCGCCTAGAGTGTATGCGATGCAACCACATGCTGCGCAATGACCGACCTGCAGCACGCTCCGTTGCGCATCGTGGGTGCGCGCAGCACTGCAGTTCACCCTCTACCGTGCCCGCACGTCGCAGGTGTGCTGGAATGCCAGCTGCTGCTTTGCAGGCCCTCGGTATCCCACCGCTCACGGGCCCCCACCCGTTTGCGGGCAGACCGTGTCGCGTGCCCCGTCCCACCCGAGGCCTCGATCCCTCGTTCCTCCCAAAACTCTGGATACACAAACAAACACCACAGACATACAACAACGACGTGTCCGCGTCCAGAACTTCCAAGATGGTCCAGGCAAGCAAACAGAACAACCACGATGGCCCAACATACCGCGACGACGGGCCAAGATGGCCCACGGCGGTCCTCCGCGAGGGTCCAAGAGGGCTTCCGAGACGGTCCCAAAGCGGCCTCCCGTGGGACCCACGACGGCCGTAGACAGCCCTTCGGCTGCACGCGGTAACGCCAAGACGGCCCCACAGACACCCACTATGCAGCAGCGAGGGGCCCAAGCCGGCCCAAGAGAGTCCTAATACTGCCTGAGAGGGCCCCAAGGGACCCCTAAGACTGCCGCACAGGAAAGAAATGCAATATCAACACTGCCCGAATACGGCCCAATAGGACCTTGCATGGGAGCCAAGACGGCCTTGCAGGCCCTTCGACTGCCCAATATGGCGCCAAGACGGCCCACGAGAGGTCCAAGACGGCCTACGACGGCCCCAAGGGAGACTGATTCACAGTCCGCCAAGGCAGCCCCAAGACGGCCCAAAGAAATGCCCTGAGAGCTCCTCAAATGACGTTCGTCATCTTCCTCCTCCTGCCCCTACTCCTCTGTATCCTCGTCGTCGTCGTCGTCGTCATCGTCATCATCGTCGTCATCGTCCCAGTCAAGAACATAAGAAACATCAACATCATCATGACCACCTTGACCGTCATCACCGACATCATCATCCCCAACATCCTCATACTCCTCATCACGACCCTCCCAGGCATGGAGGCACGAGGTGTCACACGCGACGGCCGCCGTGCCCGCTCGAACAATCGCCATCCAGAATACTGGGCTGGCACGATGGCGGGTCTTGCCTCAAGCAACCGGAGCAACATCGAACAATATCGCAGATCACGGCATCGCAACAACGCCGGCGAATCACACGGAATAGCATGTCCTCGTTTGGCAGGTCGTGCCAGGTCCGACCCTACGATGCTGTCCCACAATATTGCGTACAATGTCTAGCATAGCATAACATAACATCTCATACGTCAGACTCGATTGTAACCAAAGTCGTACCATACCGTACCAGTATAACGTCGTAAACTTGCATGGTCTGGCATATTTTACCATGGCATTACATACCAGGGGATAACCTTACAGTATAGGCACACACTGTAATCCTCATTCCACTAACTAACATAATATGTCATCGCATTGCAGCTCATCGGGAAATCACAACGCTGTACTACGTCGACGCAAACGGCGGCATCGCATTCCATTGCACTGCACATTACGTCATACACGGCACAGCAATGTACATGTTCTGCCATCGTACCTCCTGGCAGGCTGAGGCGTGGAGGGATGCCAAGCGATGTCCCAATGCATCTTGGTCCCCCCTGACCCCCCCCCCCCCTGGGTAGAGGGATCACTCCGGGCCACGTGGGACCAATCCTGGCTATGGCTTACTTGGGCCGAGTCCAGCGAATTATGTTTTACACTGGCTGCAATCCCGGCTGCCCTTACCAATAAGCTGTAAATTGACTAGATTCCAAAATCCAATGGATGTACAAAACACATGTCCACTCATGTTCTGCGTCTTGGCACGACGGGATTGGACCGGCTTTTTCCAACAGGAAATCAGCCTGGATTGCTTTCTACTCCGAGGACGACACGTCGTTCCAGGAGTAGTAGTCGCAGCAGTAGCAGTAACAGTAGCAGTAGAAGTAGCAGTAGCTGCAGTAGCTGCAGTAGTGGTCGTAGCAGTAGCACTGATAGTAGTAACCCTACATATGGTAGTAGCAGCAACACTGATACTGGGGGGGCAGGGCTGCCGCCGCGGAATTGTTGGGGCGGTTTGGTCTTGGGGATGTCCACCACTTGAATGGGTCGTTCGGGGGTCGTGGTTCAGAAGGGGCCGGCGGGCTGGCCTGCTGGGAACTTGGCGTCGCCCTCCACGCCCGCCGAGAATCTGGGGAAAACCTCGAAGAAGCCGTAAAGAATCCTTGCAAACGTGGGCAGACCAGTGTGATGTGATCCAGGGGGAAACCGGGAGGGGAGGGAGAGGGCCGATCACGGCCGTTATGGCCCAAGCCTTTAAGTCACATTCTCCTTTTCGCCCTTGTCCCAAAATCTCCAACGACCTGGCCTGTTCAATCCGTGGGTCCCCGGAGCCATCGACCCCACCCCGCGGAGCACTCCGTCGACACATGTGGCTCTGCTCGTCGCCACTGGGCCCGAAACCACCAACGGACGCCATCCTTAGAAGGAAAAAAACTGCATAAACATAAACTTTTGGCGCTCCGCGCGGATTTCTTGGATCCCCTCCCTGGCGCGCCCCGCGCGCCAGGGGCGGCGCCAGAGGCGCCGCCAGGGGGGTCCCAGTGCAGATCCAAGAAAGCCGCGCGGAGCGCCAAAGGTTTACGCTTATGGCGTTTTTTCTAACTCGAATCCTCGCGACCAGAAGTAGGAAGGCACCAACGATATACCAACACCGATCCTGTCCAGGATCGGTCTGGCCAGGACCGGTCCCCGTCCCCCCCCGCGTCCCGCCCCCGTGCCTCGCCGGGCGGGAGGACGCAAGGCCAAGGTAGGCTTGGGTCGGGCATGTCCTCCGACAGGCGGATCTTGGACGAAGCATAATAAATACCCCAAGAAGTTCAAAACAACAAATTTATAACATGCTCAAAGAATCGGTCCCAGACTATTTTTAAAACTATTTTTGGACATTCCTCCTGTAGAGGGACACGCCCGACGTAAGTGTAGGTGTATAGTTGGTGCCTTCCGAAGAAGCGCCTGCCAACAAATGAAGACGTCGGAGGTCTCAGTCCCGTCCCCGTCCTCCTCCATCCCCGGCCCCCCCCGCGTCCCGCCCCCGTGCCCCGCCGGGCAGGAGGACGCAAGGCCAGGGTGGGCTTAGGTCGGACATGTCCTCCTGCAGGCGGATCCTGGACGACAAATAATAGATATCCCACCAAACATCAAACATAATCTAAAACATGCTGAAAGAATCGCCCCCAGACTATGTTTGAACTACTACTCTTGAGCATTCCTCCTGTAGAGGGACAGGCCCGACTTAAAGCTGGGCTTGAGAGGGGCCAGAAGCAAAGAGGAACAAGGACAATGTACACATACAGTACTTGCGGAGGCCCGTGCGGACTTCTTGGGTCGACTCAAGACCCCGCTCCCGGGCGGAGGGAACGGTGCGCGAAAACGGCGGCGCCGGAGGCGCCGCGCGGGCTTCCAGAAACCTAGCGGCGAGCGAGGGGAGGAAATGAGAAGGGGCGGGCCCTCTCAGAAGAGGCAAGAAGCCCCCCCGCCTTCTGAGCAGTCTTCTAAGCCTCCCCCGAAGGCGCAGGGAACTTCTCAGAAGGCGCGAGAGCTTCTGAGAAGTCCCGTCGCCTTCTGAGGAGGCCTTCTCCTTTCCATTTCATTTCCCCCCCCCTCGCTCGCCGCCGAAGAACCACTGTCTGTGCAACTGTGTTGTTCCTTCGACGCGGAGGAGGTGGGGGGGCCACTGGCCCTTCAGTGCAGTACGTTGCATTAGCTGGTCAAGCAAGCGCAGGGCCTTCCGCCGCCCCTCGGCGCGGCGGCAGGTCACCGCAGCACCCCCGATGCGTGGCCCTCTGCGAGGTCGAGGTCAACGTCGTCTGGCCCGACGCCCATCTTCCTCGCGAGCTCGCGCTTCAGCGTCAGGACGAAGCTCTTGTACAGCCCGTGGTGCTGTCGAAGCGTCTCGAGGTCCAGATTCTCGATGTCGATGCTGGTCTGGACGACCCTGCCCCCGCCCGCGGCAACCCCGGGCTCGAGGTCCATCGCCTTCCTGGGCTCCGCCGCAGAAGGCACTGCGGGCGGGGCGGAAGGGAGAGCTGGCCCTCCGGCGACCATCTCGTAGTCGTCCCAATCCGCCAACCCCCGCTGGCCAGGGTCGGGGAGACGCGAGACTCGGGCTCGGGGGACCCGGGTTGGCCTGGCGGGGCCATCATGAAACTGGCGAGACGAAATCCGGAATCTGCAACAAACTCCCGCTGCAAGCGTCCCACGAAGACTGGACGGTCAACATCCAGGACGCGCTCGTCAGAAAACGTTGGCAAGCCCGAGTTCCGGCGTACTCGCGTCTTACCGTTCCCCGACAGGGGTGGCAAGGAGCGTGAGCTGTCTGGCTGTCCCCCTCCCCCTGGTTCGCCGCCGCGCCCCCTGACACGCTGACGCGTGGTACAATTCCAGGGGCTGCCTGGTAATTAACGTGTCTGTAATTCCCTACTGAGTAACCAAAAAAACGGACCCCTGACCATTTCGGGGGGGATCTAAGTGAGGAGGGCCACAAACATTAGACATACGTCTCTTCTGCAGATGTGTCGAATCAAACTGCCCATATGTATCCCTCATACAGAGACGGGGACCTCAGTGAGGCCGCGCCTTCATCGTGTCATTCGGCGAGAGAGGCAAACAACCAAGGCTGCCAAGATAATCCAGGATGCCTCCAGGCCAAAATCCGGCGCAGGATGCCCCCAAGACGGGCCAAGACGGCCACGCGAGGATCCCCCCAGTGGGGCCCAGGGGAGCCACAAGATGACCACAAACAGTCAAGCGTCCACCTTCTCGGACTTCCTTCAGCCAGCCCCAGACGGCCCCAGAGGCCTCCAAGATGGCCCCAGGTCGGCCCAAGAGGGCCCACTGAGCAGCAAAATACCAATCCAACGCCGCTTCAAGAGAGCCCAAAGCTAACCAAAGCGGGACTACGAATGGAATCAAGACGGCGCTGGGGAGCTCCCCGAAGAAAGAACAGAACATGCTATGCAGCGTACACACCAAACAGTGAGCTCTTGCGCTTTGGCTGCTCAAGCTATGAAGTGCAAGCTATGTTGTGCAAGGTATGTGGTGTAAGCTATGGGGTGCAGCCTATATGGTGCAAGCTAGAGGTGGCAAGGAGGCGGCAACGGGCGGCAACATGGCGAAACCTCGCCCGACCCACACACAGCACGAGACGGCAACGACGCTGCAACGGACGGCAATCAGCGCCCCTCAAACGGGGACTCCACTAACGGGTACTTTGGCCAGTGACCCAGCGAACCCAACCCTTCCCGATGTGGGCAAAGCTGCAATGCAAGACAAGGCCCTGAAGTTGCGACTCTCGGCAGAAATTCAAAGCACCCGTTAGTGAGTACCCGTTACGGTGCCGTTGAGGCAGCGTGGCGACGTCGCGCCGGACCCACCCAGCGCACGAGGCGGCAACGAGGCGGCAACGAGGCGCGAGCTCAACGGACGCCCCCCGGCGCACGAGGCGGTCACAAGACGACGACGGGCGGCAACGAGGCGGAACCTCGCTGGACTCACTCAGCGCACGGGGCAGCAACGAGGCGGCAGTGGGCGGCAGTGCAGCCAAACCACGCAGCACCCACCCAACGCACGAGGCGGCAACGAGGCGGCAACGGCTGGCAACGTGGAAAACCTCGCCAGACCCACCCAACGCGCAAGGCTGTAACGAGGCGGCAACGGCTGGCAACGTGGAACACCTCGCCATTTCCACCCAACGCGCGAGGCGGCAACGAGGCGGAAACGGGCGACAACGTGGCGACATCTCGTCCGACCCGCACACCGCACGAGGCGGCAACGAGGCGGCAACGGGTGGCGACGCGGCGAAACCACGCCGGACCCATCCAGCGCACGAGGCGGCAACGAGGCGGCAACGAGGCGGCAACGGGCGGCAACACGCCGAGACCTCGCTGGACCCCCCCAGCGCACGCGGCGGCAACGAGGCGGCAATGGGCGGGAACGCGGCGAAACCTCACCAAATCCACCCACCGCACGAGCCGGCGACGAGGCGGCAACGTGGCGACGCTTCGCCGGATCCATCCAGCGCACGAGGGGGCCGCAACGTGGCGAAGTCTCAGCCGACGTGCCCAACACACGAGGCGACGACGAGGCGATAACAAGGCGGCAACTTGCGGGAACTCTGCTGGACCCGTCCAGGGAACGAGGCGACAACGAGGCGGCTACGGGCGGCAACGTAGCGAAACCTCGCCCGACCAACCCAGCGCACGAGGCGGCAACGACGCGGCAACGGGCTGCAACGTGGCGAAACCTTGCCGGACGCACCCAGCGCTCGAGGCGGCAACGAGGCAGCAACGGGCTGCAACGTGGCGAACCCTCCCTGGACCCAACCAGTTCCGTAGGGAGACAAGAAAGATCCCCGAAACACTGCTTGGGGAAGAGTGAAGATTCGAGAAGAGCCCCGACACGACACGGAAAAGTGTACTCCAGATTTCGTAATAAAAGGGAGGGGGTCTGGACCCTCCAAGACAAGCCATTTCAGACCTCCCCCGTGGGAGAACCCTCCAAAACATCGTCCCCAGACCCCCCAGGCCCTCCAAGATAGCCTGGAAGAGACCCCCCCCGAAATGAGACCCCCCTCCCTTTATTACGAAATCTGGAGTAGGGAGACAAGAAAGATCCCCGAAAAAACTGCTTGGGGAAGAGTGAAGATTCGAGAAGAGCCCCGACACGACACGGAAAAGTGTACACCCTGCGAAATGCTTTAGAAATCATGGGTTAAGAAATTCATAGTCTCAGAATTTGAGCAAAAACCCAGAATGTCTGTTCAAATCTCAGTATCTACATCGAAACATTAAGAATAATCGAGACTCTGGCCGAAAACTTGCTTTTTTCTTAAGCGTCGCCTAGAGTGTACCACCTGTTACGGTCCTCCCTGACCTCGGGGAGCGAGGCGTCCCACGCCTCGACCTCTCCGGCCCCTCAATCTGACCAGTCGCCGCTCAGAGTGCTCAGCTGGCACGCTGGCGGGGCTTGCCGCGGACACTTGGCCATACACATAGACATGTAAATTACCCCAGTGCGACCCTACCTAGAAGTTGGAGCCCCTAGGAAAGCAGCATTAGTTGCTATGCTATGCTATGCTATGCTATGCTATGCTATGCTATGCTATGCTTTGAGTGCTCAGCTGGCACGTTGGCGGGGCTTGCCGCGGACACTTGGCCATACTTTTTTGGGTCGCGGCCGCGAGCGAAGAGCGCAGGCGGCGAACAGGGTGTCCCGGCCGACGGGCAAGCCTAATTAGCTGCAGGGCGCAGCGCGGGCCGGCCGGGCCAGCTCTCAGAGGCAGCAGCTGCGGAGGCGGCGGCGGGGGGCTGGCTGGCTGAACTGCAACGCCCAGGGAAGCTCGAGCATCGTGCAGCCCAGTGGCAAAATGCCAGGGAATTCTGGCGCCGCGGCGCCAGTCCACCACGGTGAAGGGGCACTTGGCCATACACACAGACATGTAAACATAGATTCCAATCACGTCCAAAAGTAAAAGTCATACGATTCCCCAATACTTGCACTTCTAGGCCGTTGCTTCTGTCCTGGAGCAACTCGACCCCAGCGGCGGTCCGCTGGCTCATCGCCACCCGTCGCCACCCGTCGCCGATAGGCCCAAATGGCAATCCAACCAGCTCGCCGCTTTCCGTCGCCGAACGTCGCCGCCGCCCGTGCAGTTCGATTGCAATCGCGCCGCCTTGTAATCGCATTGCATCGCACGGTAATCGCATTGCATTGCATTGCATTGCCTTGCATTCATTTGCATTGTGGTGCATTGCTTTGCATAGTGTGCGTTGCCTCGCATTGCTTTGCATTGCTTTGCACTGTTTTGCCTGGCGTTGCGTTGGTTTGCATTGCGCTGCGTTGTGTTGCATTGCTCTGCATTGCGTTAAATTGAGATGCATCGCGTCCCATCGTGCTGCATTGCTTTACATTGCTTGACAGAGCTTCGCATTGCCCTGCATTGCCGCGCATTAATTTGCATTGCTTCGCATTGCCTTGCAGTGCTTCGCATTGCGTTACACTGGGTTGCATTGTATTGCATTGCGTTGCATTGCAGTGTATTGCTTTGCATTAGTGTGCACTGCTCTGCACTGCTTGGCATGGCTTCGCGCTGTTTCGAATTGATATGCAGTGCATTGCTTCGTATCGCATTGCATTGGTTTACTTCGTATTGCTTGGCATGGCTTCGAATTGCTTTGCGTTGCATTGCTTCGAGCCACATAGACCACACCCTATGGGTTGCACCACCTAGATTGCACCACATGGATTCCACCACCTCGATTGCACCACCGCATACATTGCACACATCACTGGTGGGGGTCCACGTGCAAGCCGTGGACGCGGCCTGCCCTGCCTCTCATCCTGCGGCGTCTGCTTGCTCTTCGTGGACTTGCTCCACGCCATCGCTGTGCATATCTGGCACTCGCGAGAAGAACTGCATGTTTCGGGCCGGGCGAAAGGGGGGGATAGCAAAGGGGGGGTTTGAGAATCAGCTCACGTAGCTGATTTTCCCAGCGCCTCCCGGCGCCGGAGGCGCCCATGTATCGAGGAATGGGCCCCTCGGTGGGCCGAAACCAGCTGCATGCAGCAGATCTCGTAACCCCCCCTTTCCCAATCCCCCCCTTTCGCCCGGCCCGAATGTTCAGATTGCGTCCGTCCACCCACTCCGCCGCTACCTCGCAGCGCCCAATGCGCTTCCAGAGTGTCCCTCCCGTCGCTCGACCGGCGCCTGACCAATCTTGCGTCAGATAGCCAGCAGAGTCGGGGTCAACGATGGTGACCACATGTCTCTATATTGTTTACTCCAGATTTCGTAATAAAAGGGAGGGGGTCTGCACCCTCCAAGACAAGCCATTTCAGACCTCCCCCGTGGGAGAACCCTCCAAAACATCGTCCCCAGACCCCCCAGGCCCTCCAAGATAGCCTGGAAGAGACCCCCCCCGAAATGAGACCCCCCTCCCTTTATTACGAAATCTGGAGTATGCACAGAGACATAGGCGTACACATTCGTGTACATCTGCAATTCCACGCACATATATATATATATATATAACATGCATGCGTATCCGCATACGGACGTATATGCATGCTCGCACCTA